GCTACCAGGCTTGGTACAGGTTTGGTGGTCAATGTAGATTTTCAATTCCCTAAAAGTTTGAGTACCAGTGGAGTTAAGGAGCCGTAGAATCTTGATACAAGTAACTTTGGATACATAATCAATTCCAAAATTTCCCCTGATCTTGTCCAGGGTTTCATCTACCTTGCAGTAACATTGTCATTATCTCCTATGACATAATGAATGTTCTATTGTTCAAACTTGCCTGACAGCTGTCCTCAAAATTCATTCTTGAGACAACTACCTGGATGTTTGAGCTATATACCTGAGTGTAGCATCGAAACCTTAAAAACATTTGAAAATTATTCTTACAGTGATCCTGTTGTATGTATTACAGTGTTTACCATTATTTTTTTGGTTTGTCAGGTTGGCAGCTCTCCAAGGCCACCAGGAGGTTGTGAGGATCCTACTAGAGCACGGAGCAGATGTGAACGCACAAGACGCCGACTCCAGAACAACACTGTACATCCTGGCACTGGAGAACAGGGTAGCCATGGCCAAGTTCCTCATAGACCCAGGGGGGAGCGGATGTAGAGGCGAGAGACTCTGAGGTAAATTTAACCTGGTTTAAATTTTAAACCCTGGTAAATTTAAACCCTGGTAAATTTAACCCCAAGTTTAAAGGTAAATTTAAACTGTATACTCTCGACTATCCGAATAAAAATATTGCTGCAAGACCAGATAAGCGATAAGGATTGATAGTGTGAAACTGTAGTATACGTTTGTAAGTTATATTTATGTATTAAAAACTTTGAAACACACATTTATGAAAACCTCATGAACACCCATTAGAATCTTAAAACTTTCACAATCGAGAGAGTTAAATTTTGTTATTTTATTTTTACATATAGGCTATGTGTAGTTTTTTGTTCTACAACTATGTTTGTTTGACGTCACGTTTTGAACAACATTCAGTAGATTTTAAGCCAACTTGATGCCCAGTAAAACAATCTGCTAGAATGTTTGCGAGTACCTACAGTTGTGATTAAGCCTTGTCAATAGGCCTAACCCAGATTACAGCAATTTGTCTAAATTTTCAGTTTATTTTCACCACTGATTAAACCACAGGCCCCTTATTAAAGACTTTCTATGGCATTTTAAAACTTTTGTCATTTCAAAAATTGTGAATCGCACCGACATTGTGTTCTTCACTCCCACAACTATTCTAGCCAGTTCCCAATCTTTCCGACAATAAGATGGCACTATAACATGAATATAAGGTTTTACGTCATTTCTTTAAAGATGAGTTTAATCAGATGAGATAAAATCATTTTACTGATTATTTGTTTTCACATTTGTAAATTCCCTTCTAAATTGTTTATTTAAAAGGCACTTGTGCCCGGTGCGAGACGGTAGAGGATCGATTATGGTGGAAAGTAATGTCTTTCCATAAATATCGATTTTACCCACCGAATCGCCAGCAACTTGAGTATTTCCCTCCTATCCTGGATAGTAACTTTCTGTACGCTCAGCCCCACTTAAGTGAATTAGTGCCAGGTGAGTGGTCAAGTATAGGGAAGACCCAACGTTTACTTCGTAGATAGTAGAGTGTTTTCACCCTCTCTACGAAGTGCCTTTTTAGGGTTGTTTGACTGTATATTGTATATTGTACACTTCCAGATTCTCTTGATCTACCTTAACCCTCCGAGTGTTATTTGTCGCTGCAGCGACACATAACACACTTTGTGTAGTGTTTTGTGTCGCTGCAGCGACTCACAAACACTGTTTACGGCGAAGGCTCTATGACTGACAAAATCGGATTGAACTGGAGTCGAGTTAGGTATCGTTTTATTTGACAGATTCAGAGCTTTCTCCGGAAGTCTGTCTCTATTCATTTTAGTTCCGAAAATATTGTAGCAGACAGCTGACGTGCGTATTTGTAAACAGCTTGGTTAACCTCGGACCGATGACTGATGTGTTTTATTACGTTTATCATTGTTTTAGTGTAAAAAATCAAAAGTAGTGATATACGTGGTGCATTATAAGAAGATTTAAGTGATTTTGAAGGGCTGGTTGATGATCCTGAAGAAGTAGGTCGTGATATTGATGTAAATTATCAGCCAGATTCCTAGCTATGGTTAGGCTATGCATTCTTAGCTAAACGCTATGTACTGAAATCTGTTTTTTGCCCATAACTTATTTATTTGCAAATCTACTTCCTTATATTATTATATATTTGTAATCCTCATAAAATTTAGAACAAAGTGGCTATTTTCAAATATTTATAGGCCTATAATTTATACAATTTCATTGAGCGCGAACTTATTTTTTTTTTAATTTTCTGTAAATATTTTTTTTTTACCTAAAAATTTTTTTTGAAACAAAATGTTCCTTATGTTCTATGTATAATATTGAAGCCCATGATTTTCCAAACAAAATGGTATATAGAACAGTATAATTAACATTGTTTTCAAGCTTCTCAGATCTGTTTTAATAAAACCTTGCAAATGAGCAAAAAATAGGCAGACATTAAGGCCAAACAAGGGACACTCGGAGGATTAAGAGAGAACAACCTAGACTTTTCAAGGTACAAGGTAACGTGGCTTCTAGACCGATCTCTCTACTCAGGGGACGAGTTCCTGAAAAACGAGCAAATTAATTTTAACTTTGTAACTGACGCATGAATGTTTATTGTTTATCGTCTGCTGTCTTGTATTTGCAGGGCCGCACAGCACTTCACGTAAGCGCATGGCAAGGACACAGAGAGATGGTCTCCTTACTGCTAAGTCACGGACACGCAGACGTCAACGCTACAGACAACGAGCGCAGAACTGCTTTACACAGCGCAGCCTGGCAAGGACATTACCACATTGTTCAGATACTGCTGGAGCACAACGCAGAACCCGACCACACTTGTAACCAGGGAGCTACTCCTCTCGGTAAACTAAACTTGCTAACTACACAGCGATGTGTTGTAAACAAAATATTGTCTTTGACTGCTCCATTAACTTGACATATCATTCCAATGTTAAAGTTTTGAACAGATTTTGTTTGATAATGAAAATGAATATAGTTGAATCGAGCCTTTGAGAGAGTAAGCTGATAAAAATTATCTATTTCTGTTGAATAACGCTAATTTTTCATCCAAGCCAAGCTGCAAGTATTATTTATTGTAATCTGCTGCAGCTTTTATATTACATAAACTATCACAGTACCAGTGATTTTAAGTATAGAGAAAATAGAATTTTAGACCGCAGCACCTATGAGATACACATGGTTGGAAGTAACATTTTTGTTTTATCCTAACTTTTAAGGCTTTCTTTTTGTATCCATAATGATATACAAGAAACCCCACCTCAACATATCTTTGGATGACTTGCATATACATATGGAAGTATTATTAATCTAAACCTGAATATAGTACAATCAGGAGTTTGTTAGCTTTGGAATAGGTACACATGACTTGACCGAGTTTTTTACACCACCATCTTTAACCCAACTTTGAATTTACAAGGATTTGCAGAATGGTTAGAACAGTTAAACAGAAGCGTTCTATCGGCAAGTCGACCTATAGATCAAGTTTCCAAAGAACTTTCTTTTCCTACCCAACTTTACTATTTACTTATCTACCGATTCTTTACTACATGTTCCAAAACCAAACACTAATCCTTTAAGTGAATCAATAATTAAATAATCAACTTTTATTTATTTATTATTACTTGGTACAGCACATATATACAATGTATTTACGATACAAAAACTGCATAAGCCTTATAAAAAGGCTTGTCCGCAGTGTTTCTTATAATACTAATTGTCTTTTCCATCCTTTTCTTGATCTTGAGTCAGTGTGAACTTTTAACTGTACAAAAATATATTTCCTACTTCTTAAACAGTAGCAAATTTGGAAATGATTATAAATACCTTTAAGATTAAAAAAAATTTAAAAAATTCCAAATATGCCAGGAATTTTCTTAAAATTATTTAACATAATTATATTCTTTCAGATTACAAACATTCAATAAATAAATAAATATCTAACAAGAAATAATAACAGCTGAAACAATCTTTATCATGCAATAAAGCAGGAACTTTTAAACTGAACAACTCTTTTTTCCAAAACTACAGAGAAGGGCTACTAAGACAGAGTCACTACTCACTAGTAGTCATCCAACCTTTTCTGTAATCCTTTGGGTATTGAACCCTAGCTGACTGATCCCTATGCCTATGTTGGCCTATTTATTTAGTGAAACTGCCACTGAGTGTCATAAAGCAGTGTTTTGTTATGTTTGTAAACAGTTCAATCACACCTCCTAGCTTGCAAGGTGTAGGTAGACATTAGGTCATAAATCTAGTTCACTTAACCTACCTTCCAATACCCCCACAGTTACATATTTTTCACCTCCCCAAAACACTTTGAGTAAACTGCCCTTACGAAACACAATTTCCAATAGTGAAGTGTGATGTGTTTTACAGGTATCGCCGCACAAGAAGGCCATGAGGAATGTGTCAGGCTGCTGTTAGCTGTTGGAGCAAATCCCAACCACTCTGACCATTGTGGTAGAAACGCTCTCAAAGTGGCAGCTAAGAGTGGTCATCAAGGAGTCGTCAGACTACTGGAGCAAGCTCAAGTCAATGGTAACTGTCTTTACTAACGAAACTTTAACTGTGTAACATGGGTAAAACTCAGTACCCATTTGGTATTTCTCCATTCAGGAGATGTAATTAAAATCCTGATTTTGAAAAACTTAGAAGACCATTTAGCTGGACCCTAGATCCAAGTCTTTTGGCTCCAGATCCTCAATGAGACTGTCTATCAAAGACCTCCTTAAGTGGAAGGTTACCCACTGCAACATACAAGTTGCCCCTAATTCCCCCATTGTTCGAGCGACATCATTCTATACGTCAACACAACTATTTTTGTTCTTCATCACTTCCAGCCAACTTGCACAACATTGCCAAATTCTTACTCTTAACAATTTGACCCCCACTATTCTCACACCAACATAGCACTCATAAAGAGCCGACATTATTTGAGTTCTAAAAGGTTATTGAAATGTTCTGAACGCTGAAACCCTATAAGAACTTGTTGAAATTGAATCTAATAAAAATAAATGTATAATGTTTCTCACAATCACACTTTTTTGGTCAGCTCTCCAGGGCTTATAGATTGCCCAGCCACTGTTAATGATTGGGAATAAGGAAAAGTGGCATGTTAGAGTGAGTAAACCTCAATGTGATTTATCTACATCAAAATTTGTGGTTTTTTACTACCAATATGGGATTTGGAACCAGACAATATCCAAAACCTAGGGTGATAACATTAGTTTCTCCATGTTATGGAAGTGTTTCTCTGTTACAGCTGGCCTGGGTCCGGGAGCTGTAGCCCCACCACTCATCTGTCCCAGTGCCCCGCCATCTAGCTCACCAGAGTCTAGGGTGCTAACATTAGTTTCTCTGTTACAGCTGGCCTGGGTCTGGGAGCTGTAGCCCCACCACTCATCTGTCCCAGTGCCCCGCCATCTAGCTCACCAGAGTCTAGGGTGCTAACATTAGTTTCTCTGTTACAGCTGGCCTGGGTCTGGGAGCTGTAGCCCCACCACTGTCCCACCATCTGTCCCAGTATCCCGCTATCTTGCTCCTCAGAGCCTAGGGTGATAATATTAGTTTCTCCAGGTTATGGAAGTGTTTCTCTGTTACAGCTGGCCTGGGCCTGGAAGCCGTAGCCCCGCCATTCATCTCTCCCAGTGCCCCGCCATCTTGCTCATCAGAGTCTAGGGCGCTAACATTAGTTTCTCTGTTACAGCTGGCCTGGGTCTGGGAGCTGTAGCCCCACCATTCATCTGTCCCAGTGCCCCGCCATCTTCTTTCCCAGAGTCTAGGGTGATAACATTAGTTTCTCTGTTACAGCTGGTCTGGGTCTGGGAGCTGTAGCCCCGCCACTCATCTGTCCCAGTGCCCCGCCATCTTGCTCACCAGAGTCCACCACCAAGCGGAGGTCTATTGTGTCCAGTGATAGCAGCAACCTCACCAACAGCACCAAGAGCTCTCTCAAAGAACAGTCTCAGGTGATAACAACTGACCTACCAATCACTTCTTACACACACATACACATTCTTGTAGGAATATATAAAATGTCAGCGTACTGTGTTTGTCTTCAGTCTTAAGAGTAGTCAATGGAATACTATTCAGGTCATATAACCCATTATCAAACCTGACATAGAACGTTTGTTGGGTATATACTCTCTTCAATTTGATGTTGGATTTAATAAAGGATCATATGACCAAAACTAGTAATCTACTGACTACTCATAAGACTGAAAACAGACAAGGTACGTTAACCTTTTAAATTTTACGATTTTAGTGACCTTTTCTATTATACTGATTAAAGTATTTAATCACAAACATTAAGGCTGATCCTCACTTGTGACATTTACCAAGACACAATTCAAACATACTTGAACTGCGTATTTTTTTTGCCCCAATTTGTGATAAAATAGTTCACTATTTGTGAACTATTTCTGTTGATATTGCCGACTTACAAGCAGAGGGGCCCACACATTTCCTGCTTTGATGTGTAGGAAAGACCAACATTGAGTAGAAAACAACAATTACTGTCGTTCGACAAATCACAAGTAGATAAACTCATCCACACTATTAGTGATTTGGTGAGAATGTTTGGCGCTCGATAAATGCCGCACGTGTGAACCTGCCTTTCAGCTTTTAGTAATGATTCTGACCAATTAATGAGCTCATGTTAATCAGTAATGGACATGTTTGTTCTTTTGTACATTTCTTTCCACACTCATTTCTATTTCATCTTAAGGTCATGTTCCTGTTAAGCCTAATTTCATCATGTTGTGACTTTGATTATTTCTGATGTATGTTTGTGATTTCAGCAGTCATTTACGCACCAGCTAGAGAGATGTTCGCGCAAGTCTCGTATTCTGAGTCCTCTTCAGTCTCAACCTCCTAGTCCAATCTACGCTTCACCTCCGGCCAGTCCTCCTAATCCTTGCCGTAAGTGTCACACATTCTTTGTTATTGATGATGTTGAGTTTATGCTGTTTAAGGATTATTACATGAATTTTCCATTATTGATCTTGTCTTCAAGTAGTGTTAACCAGCAACAACAACAACAAGATTACTATTGGTACACAAACTATACATTGATCTGTAGATTCATGGTCTTCTGGGGTTGATTGTGTCAAAAACAACGCAACACTACCGTTGACCGACGTTTCAGCCTCGATACGCCATCTTCAGGGCGACTTGACTTCCGCACAGGGCTGACCTGTAATGTAATGTTTCACCTGAAGTTCATTGACCACTTTGAACCGCAACGTCTAGGAGCTTCCAGAGCTTTCCTGAATACCCTTGACTTGTATCGAGGCTGAAATATAGGTGAACAGTAGTTTTTTGTCGAGTTTGACACGGTCGACCCCAGACGACCACGGATCTAAAATTAGTGACTGTTTAAGCCTATCCAGGAAGATCAGACGTCTGTCTGTTGTTGAACTGTATTCCCCTAACATATTCAAACGATAAATTGCTATATTAGGTGCACAGCTAGTCTATAGACATACCACGAACAAAACAACCTGCGCAGAAACGAAAAGATCACGTGGTTCGTAGGTGTGGCGTACCATTCAAACCTGCGCGGCTCGAAACAGCCTAGGGTTCTTTTGTTTCTGGTATTACTATAGTGGTTAGAGTACAGGAAGGTACAAGGGGAAACAAGCTTATCGGACGACCGTAAGTGGTTTCAGCTCTAGTATGTTGTGCGGGAAATATACTTGTTACTAGCGGGGTAGAGCCAGAGCGAGAGCACTGTGCAGAAATTCCTATCGCTCAGGGCACAGTGTCTTCCTCCACCGTGGGTGTTCTAGTACATAAGGGAGAGGGGGGCGGTATTGGACTTTGCCCTAGACACCAACGCCTATGCTAGACACCACTTATAGTCCTCGCCACCCTAAGTTGAGGCAGCCCAAGGCCGCACGCCGTATATCTAGTGCGGCCTTGGGCTGCCTCAAGTTAGGGTGGCGAGGACTATAGGTGTACCATTGAGTGTTTCCTCTGTACCTAGACTGACTCAACAGCGCTCATGCATTGACCAACCACATTGATTATACATTGTTTTCTTCATCAGTTTCAATTATGAGAAGAAACATAACCCACTAAGTTTAAGATTTTATGGTACTGGATCTTTTTCTTTGTACCTAAATTGATTATTGAATTATTTTCCAGATGATCATTTCTCGAGGGACACGCACATGAGGATAATATTGGGCAGCTGCAAGGCTTCTCCGACACGGCCTGTGTGAGTAAAGTATATTATCTGCACTATGTAGAAGCCAGGAGCAAAATAATGAAGGAGTTTTAAAAGTTAAACTAAGCTGCTTTTAATAAATAAACTAATGAATTTGTTTATGAGCTGTTGGCAATTCATGGTGTTATAAAAGAGTGTTTCCTAACTCAAACTTTGGTTTTTTTAGGTCGGAAATAGTAAAAAGAGTGTTAAAGGTTTCACAAGAAGCATGTATCCAGATAAATATTTTTGTAATCTGAGGTCATAATAATATAACACCAAGCAAACCAATATTCATATCTTTGGGGTTTGCCTGTGTTGATTTTTGACAATCACTCGTGTTTTGAGTATATTTTTACTACACTAATACTTCTGGATTTTTTTCTGAGACCAGAAGTTAAGTGTGTTTTTGTGAACTCATAGTATTTTTAGTAAATTTCCCATTGGATGATATTCACTGCCTCCAAAGTCAAAGACCTGGAGATAAAACCTAATTTTGGGACTAAAAAATTCAATTAAATGAAAATAATCTCCTTTAAAAAAAAATAAATATTTACCACAATATATTTGAATACTCCGCATTTAACTACAGTTACTAAATAAAACTTAGAGTTGTTTATTTAACAGCCAAAAAATAGATTCATAAAAATTAAATATAATATATTTGTAATTTGAACCCTGGTGGGTTTGGAGAAAATCTTCAATATTGTAACAACCAAAAGCAAACTTTCACGGCCACATTTAAATTTAAATCAGTTAACTCTGCCAATATGATGGTTTACTTTTATGAAACTGCGCTTAAAATCATCAAGCACAATATATTCATCATGTCTCATGCATAGTGTATAAAAAAACAGAGTTTTGAACTCAATTTAAAATGTATTCATATATTATGTTGTTCGTATCTGCCATACACTGTTAAAATTTATTAAATAATATTATGGAATATCACAATGATCTAAGTAAGTCTATTTTAATTGTAACAGCACTTAATGTTTTGTAAAATAAATTGGGATGTTTAGTTTTTAAGTTGTTCAATGCTCTGGTTAGGTTACCAATACAATTGTAAATTATGTTACTAAGGTGTCTTTGAGTGGTAAATGAGTGGTTCTTTAGTTTTTGTGCTATTTTCAGCATCTTATTTTAACATTTTTTGTATTTTTAAACATTTGGATTTTAACCATCTGTTATCACGAATTTGTTAGGTCGAAATTAAATACCGTTTAGTGTTTTTGAATATTTTTACTAAGTTTGAGGCTAGTAATGTTAGTTGCAAGTGTGCTGCAATAAATGAATGGTTAATTATATTTAAAATTGCTACACAATTAACATATTTAGAATTTTTATGATAACTATCAGATTTAAAAAACATAAGTAACACAAGTATATATAGAGATACAAATTTAACAAAAATATGAATCTAATGTTGAATAATAAAAAACAAACAGAAATCATCCTAGTATAATTTTTAATTATGTCTGTAGAATCAGCAGACATAAACAGAACTCTTCCTGTGGGTCTGCTGGGTTGCTATAGTCTTTTAATGACCTTAATTGGTTGGTTTGAATATTTAACGGTGGTTGAATTAAAGAAACAAATGCGATAATTTCTGTGGGAGCAAGTTAACCATACAGTTGTGTTGGCCAGGATTTGAGGGCAAGGCTGAGGGTTGCTGGGGGTACTGCACGGTACAAGAGTCAGGTCATACACGCCAATCAGCTGTAATGACAATTTTGGACTAGTCCGTCCCTAGGAATTCCTTGTCCCTGATTTTAAATAAGTTTACAGAATGAGAATAAAATATGTTTAAAGTATTAAAAGAAGAGCAGATATTAGGAAACAGTACATGAGATGTTAAAAGAGTTGAAAAAAATAATTATTTGCAATTTAGTGATACAAACTCTTGAAGAATACTTTGTGTTCATACTGGGCTAAACCCATGGAAAGTGAAATTCCATGGAAGATATTATTGTAATTTTTTTAAATACAAATTAAGATATAAGGGATGTTACCTTAAATAGAGCGACAGTCTGGTATCATCTGCACCTTCCGAAGCCTAATTTTATAATTGCTTCTTGGGCAACATTCAAATGTTTGATAATACATTCATGCCAATCTTAATATAGTTTAGCTTTTTATACTGTCCTGTGTTGACAAGCAACGTCGTTTTACAGGGCCGCTAGCAAGCCTAAGCGCAACGGCATTGTGACCAATCCTGCGCTTCGGATCGTTCCAGCAATCAAGAATGGCCTAGAACTCGCTGCTGGCCGCAAAATAAACAACGCTACAACCACAAACAGCTTTCAATGGCGGAAGGAAACTCCATTATAGGATATGTAAGTGCTTGACTTCTGTCATGTTTATACAGTGAAACCTTGATAAGAAGACCCTCGATAACAAGTCGCCCTTGATAACAAGTGTCATTTTCAAATCCCCTTAAAATTATTTTACCTCTAATCACAGTTATTACAAACCTCGATAAGAAGTCAACCTTGATAACAAGTCTTATTTGACAATCCCCTTGAGAGTCTTGTTATCAAGGTTCTACTGTAGTTCAAGGTTTGTTTGAAATATAAATTGTTTGAGGACTAAACAGCATAGTTTGATCTGTCGCTGTTATAGCTCTTCAACGCCACACTCTCCTAATTTTGGATTCTGATGGTGTTCTGTACTGATCTAGTAATGTTACCTTATGTAGTATAATAATAATGTTATGTTCATGCATTTTGTTTATATACCCACCCCCTTTAATAAAAAAACGGAGGAGGGACGGAATTGGAATTTTCAGTATAAAGGTGAGGCGGGCTGCTCGGTCTAGGTGATGTTGCTACAGAATGTATCATCAAATCCCAATACAAGGCTGGAGTAGAATCAACAAACAAGCTAATGATTTTCTCCTTTGGATATAGGCAACATCCTTAGACATACGAAGACTGATGAGTTGAAGGCTTCCAATTAAAATGACTTATTTATTTTGTAAACTTTGTTTTAGTACTGATCCACTCTTTTAGTATATTTTTCCACTTAATGTTTCAACACTTATTTTTTTGCTGAATGTATATATTTTCTGTTTATGTGATGTACATTTTAGGTAACATGGAGACCCGTGAGCAAATAGCACATTTTAATAGGTTTCAAAACTTCGTTTTGGTTGAAAATAAATATTGAATGGAATATCCTTTTACTTTTCAAAGATTATGTTTACTAGGCCTAATTTAGAATAAATAAAGTCATTGCTTTTATATCTAGCCTACATCGAGTGATATACCTACCTCAATCAGGTTACAGTTACTAAAATACCCCCGCCGCAGCAAACCTGCAGACTAAGCGAATTTCCATTTGCCTGATTTGATTTTCAATTAAATCTATTCAAATAATATTAGGTTTAACGAGTACCTAGGTTTGCTGCCTACAGTGTAATAAAGTGTGTTTTTTAGTAAAGTATTAATAGCTTATTATAAAATAAATAGATTGGCCAAGCTTGATCCAAATATATGCATAAACAAGCAAACTACAACAGTTTACTTATTCTCCATAAGAATGACATGGGAATTTTTAATTTACAATTTTCTCTGTAACCAATAACCATACAAAAACACTTCAATATACTGAATTATTTGTTTTTTTAAGCTCTTTAAAATGGTCTAGAGGGTCAAAAATGAGAAAAACCAATTTTTACCCCATAAATCCCCCCATAAACCCCTGTTCTCATGGTCCGATCATGCTAGTTTGCGAACTCGTTTGAATAAACGTAGGTTTACTTGTTTGTACCAAATTTCATCGAAATCGAATCATTTTCGCTCGAGTTATCGTGCTGACGGACATATATATATGAAATCGAACAGATGGTATTTTTGGCTTCTAGGGACATCAAAATGAAAAAGTAAATCGGTCCCGGGACTAAGTCTTACCATGAGACCTATGGTAATAGCTTATTCCCTATAAGGAAATTTGCTAAAAGTAGCCTACCGGATATTTAAAATCTGACTGTGGTTAAACATTCAACTGAAGGATCAGGTGTTCACATTTAAATTCAGTTTTAAACTGTTACTAAGAATGTTGGTTAGCATCACTGAACCTTTGAAAGCAAACTCTAAAAATAAATCAAACCCTAGGGGAAGAAACCCTAAGGAAGCTGACCTTTTTCGTTACAAGTCGTCACTTCGCTACATCATAAGCTTTAAAATGACATCTTAGTCATAAAAATTGGTTAAGTAGGGCGGGTGATAAAGGTATAAATAGATGTTTTTTTTTGCCACACCCAGCATTAAACTATGACGAGTTAGTATAATATTTTTATTTTTATATTGAATTTCATATTGGCTACTAAGTATGTTGTCTGTTTCAGGAGCATTATAGACTTGCTGACCTAGGTAAGATTCCGTCGCCTAGCAGAGCGCATACTTCTACCAATATACATGTACATTTATATATAGAAAATCAAACTTAAGTTATATTCGAATAGTCCATTTATTTTTGTCAAATAAAATTTACAAAATCAGCGTATTTATGGAGATTTTGTAATCATTTGTATATTTTTATTATTTTTGTATGTGTGTAAACCAGATCATTATTTCAGGATGGTATCCCTATATACGACTTTTGTACTGTAGTAATTTAATGTGTTTGTAAGTTATCAATGTGTTAGTATTGATTGATCTTTTCACTATTCATTCTCTCTAGTAAGTGTCAAAGTTTCTGTGGGATTAGTCGAGTCTGAAGACTGTTGACACCAATAAATAGACTATTCACTGATTACACTTTACCGTAGTTGATCAAATCTGTGTCATCCAAATATATTTATTTGAGAATATCTGTCTTTGTTATCTTCCACACTATTTAATACTTTCCATTAAATAAAATACAATAAACCCTCATTTAATCAAGCTAATGAGGATTTGAGCCATTCAGATTAATGAAAGTCTGGATTAAATAAATAAAAAAAAAAACAGTATAAAAATGCTGCAGTATTTCGTGACCATTTGGTTACTCATTGTTTAGTAAAAGAAAACTACCTTTCTCTCAACTAACACAGGGTGTCCACAAAGTCTTGGCCTGATAAGGAAACCACATAGTATAAAAACGGGTGATAGAAGGATAAAGATGTATTTACAGATATAACAGGCAACTTTTTACGATTTTATAAGAAGGCTCGGGTGGCCTGCAGATCTTTTAGAGGTCTTTTCAGTTTGTCCCAGGTTTTACTCAGCATATCCTGGGTTAGAGACGTCACAGCATTTCTGATTCTCTCCCTCAGTGTTTGTAAATTAGGAACTGGGGAAGAATAGACAGTGTCCTTGACAAATCCCCACAAAAAGAAATCCATGGGGGGAACGAGGTGGCCATTTCGTTGGGCCATCACTTCTGATTCCATCTTACTGGAAAATTATCATAAGTTGCAGTTCTTCTAATTGAGGGACAACATACAACTCCAACATATCCAAGTAAACAAAACTATTCACATTCCTTCTGCAAAGAAAAATGGTCCAATGATTCCATCTTGATTATATTGAATTTTAGCCTCCTGATCGCATTTAAATACTATAAATTGGTGTAAAATACCTGCATTTATGCGATCTTGTGTTGTAGCTGAGTTGCTACCGGTTTCAACTCACATTGGAGTCATCTTCAGGCAGTTATAAGATGTCATCTCGCTTCATTCGAAGGTCGTCAGTGGATAATAAATACATAAACAAAACACAAACACGTACACGGACATAAAAAAGAACATTTAAAGCTGTAAAATACTGAAAACGGTAGGCCTACGGGACACGACACGACGTGATCGGGCGAAAGTTATGTCTAGACTCAACTGTGTTGTTATCACTTGTGTTTTGTTTATGTATTTATTATCCACTGACGACCTTCGAATGAAGCGAGATGACATCTTATAACTGCCTGAAGATGACTCCAATGCGAGTTGAAACCGGTAGCAACTCAGCTACAACACAAGATCGCATAAATGCAGGTATTTTACACCAATTTATAGTATTCCATCTTGCATTACACCGCACCAAACATTTAGTTTTGGACTGTCAATTTCTTTTTCAATCACGATCCTAGGGTTTTTACTATCCCAAATTCTACAATTGTGACTGTTAACCTTCCCAATTAAACTCGCTCGTCGAACTGCCATAGGAGATTTGGTTTTGTGAAACCACAAAATACACTGTGATTTATCTTGTATACTCACCATTTCTGATTTATTTATGTATTGAATCATAACTGTATTGTTGTCAGTCAGCTATGTTTAGGTGTTACCAACTTCATTAAATAAAACTTGATTAAATTCCCTTCAAAACAAGGCATACAAGTTAAGTGTGGCTCTAAAGGTTTTCGTACAGCAAAGCTATTAAATTAGGCAAAAACTTTGTGGACACTCGGTACCTTTTTTTTGTACCTTTAAAAAAACTAACAGAATATTCTGAATAAAAAACACAGTAAACTACTAAAGCACTATAAACCGTTTAACAAAACTGTTTAGTTTTCAGTGACATTTATAACTTATCTCTATGAAATTTGAAACAACTGCTGATTGGCTGTTCGGATTAAGCGAAGTCCTTCCTATTGGTGTCCTGATTAATGAGGGTTTACTGTACTTAATTTTAAGTTATTTTTCATACAAATACATCAAGCCACTACTTAAAGCATTTGAGTAAGGAGGGGTTTAAGAAGGGTCATTTACTTGACAAATATTCAATATTGATAAAAAGATAAAGCATTTGCCAGGAATTATTAAGGAAATTAACAGGAAAGCAGAATAAACATCAGAAAAGTAGAAATATTTGTGGTCACTGACCACTTTTTCAAATTTTCTGATTTTTTCCGAATTTCTCCAGTGGTTGAAAAAGTGGTCAGTAACCATAAATATTTCTACTTTTATGATGTTTATTTTATGTGTCTCTATGGACTTATTTAAAGGCCTGCTTTCCTGTCAATTTCCTTAATAATTCCTAACAAATATATTTAAATTGTTTACTATAATACACATGTAACAGTTTATTTAATAATTTAAATCATCAATATCCAGTAGTAGGAAAATTAACTCTGAACTGAGTAACGTTGTTTAAGAGATTATTATTACAGTAGACCTCCTCTTAACCGACCTCACATTAACCGATAATCGAATTATCCGCCCTCGCTCATAAAATATTACAGTTTGTTTTAACAGACCTTGTTTTGAGAGTAATTCGGTTTAACCAGCTTGTTAGGAATCTCAGCATTTCTACTCCCACGCTGGGCGATGGGAACAATACAATAACTCTACAGGATGTCACTGTATAAATAAACATCCTGTCTCAGAACAAAATGGTTGCTTATTTCTTAAATTTGGACAATAAGTTCTGTACTGTATTACGATAGATTTGGAAAGCATCAATTAATATTACTAAAGGTAAAAATATGAATTGTTGACTAATAATTATGGTACAATCGTCAAGTTGTACAAATTGTTGATGTCAGGTTAACTGTGTGCTTGTGACATCGATGTCTTATGTTTTGTAACCCAAAAGATGCTTCATTTACGGCGAAACATGTTGGTTGTTAACCTGACATCAACAATTTGGATTACTTGATGAGATTTTGTCCCATAATTATCAGTCATATATTGTAATCCAGGGGCCATAAACATGGAATTCAATATGAATTTTTATTGACTCTTGCCTAGGACTATAATTTATTTCACTGAAAGTATTTGACTTTACAGTGTTTTGGGTTTATTTCTGACTTTTCTATCATCAATACTTAAGAAAAAAAGGGGATAAGTGTAATTGAATATTCATTATGACCCTTGGCTGGAATATATTATTGATCAAATAAATTGATTACCATAAACTCGACCCATGTAACATTTTAAATGATCAGACTCCTTCGCAGTCAAATATTATATTTTATACATATATTGACAAGCTAAAAATCAAAGAAGTATAAAATAAGAAGAACAGAACAAACTGAAATACAGGTGGCACTGGAAAGAAGAACAAACATCATGATTCAGTAAGTTTTATTTGGTCAGTGGCAGTGATACGACAGTGCTGGCCAGCCTGTACATTTTTAATCAGTTTGATCAAGTTTTATTTAATTTTATCTATTTTATCAACATGACAAGTTTCAATTATTGTGATTGTGACAGTTTTTAAATTGATTGACATACCAGGATGTATTAATACATTGATGTGGCTGCATATAAAATGACCTGATGAAGTTCTAAGGAATGAAACTAGTCGTCATAACAACAACTGTGGTTGGATAGGTAATCATTTTATTTCATCATTGTAATTTATTTAGTGATGCACGCACAACATCAGAATAGCAATTATATAAATCCTAATGAATGGCACTTCATTTTTTAAGTTTTTAGGGATTGCCTGTTTTAACCTGTCTTTTGAGTTATCCAACCTAGGTCTGGTCCCTTTAGAGTCGGTTAAGATGTCTACCGTATTATTTTCCAACAGAATTAGTTAAAAAGAACGTTTTCACAACGTCCTCAGGTGAAAAGGACCTAAAACACAACCAGATTATTACACAAACCCAGCCAGTTGTTTTGATTTTGGTTTGACTGCTAATACTATACAGATCTGTGTGTGTTATTTTTTTAAATTGTAATTTTCCAACTTCAGCTGGATTTGTTCATCTTTTTATGTTTTAGATACTTTTTCACCTGAGAGCAGGATCAGATTCCAGATCCTAAAATGTAGTGAAATAGTAGTTTAGGCAATGATCACGTAAAGATAGTGTTAACGACAGGAGTAGAAAATTTTATGTACGAGCCTTGGCAAGTGCCTTAAAAACTGCTACGAATGTCGTATAGACTATTTAGCCGGGTTGCTTACACTACTTTACCTAGGACAGTGTTTTAATTACTAACAATCACTACTCATAACTTCTAAGAGAGGTTATGTTTTCGTTTATAACCTCTCATTGCCACCGACAGTGATGCAACGAATCGTTGTACGAAATGCACCACTCATTAAAAATTAAATTGGTCAAAACAGCTGATTAGTTTACGTTTGAAGCATTACAATTTTGCTTCTTCTCTCTCAATCCTTGACCCTCATTGGCCCATTGGTGTTGTTAAGTAAAACAACAACGCTGTCAAGTAAGTAAACAATGCTGTTATGTGAATCTTTTCAATTCTAAGAACTGAACTCAAACGGCTACTTTAAAAAAGTGGTCGAAGGTAAACATTGTTTTCGCCACACTACACAGTAAGCAGCTGCTTTCTGTTTATAGAAAGGGACTGGTAAAGTCAGCTGGGGTAGGGTAAATAAATATAACAATTTTGCAATAGCCTTTAAACTAGTGATGGGCGATACGGGTCAATGTATCGATACTGCGTATCGATATGTATCGGAACGTGGTGTATCGATACGTGTATCGTATCGTATCCTCATGTATCGATTTTTATCTGTATCGGATAAAATATCGTATCGTATTGTTTATTTTTAATTTATATAAAAAATTAAATATCTCAAATGTACAAGCTGCATAGACAAATACTATGTTACTTACAAGCTTGTAAAGAGGGTTATAATAGGTTATTAATAACTTATTATATTATAAGCCTTTCCTGTGTCTTTTTATTTGTATCAAACATACATACATAACCTCCAAATTCCGGTAAACCCTCAAATTGGAAAACATTTTGTTATTGTTTTCCTAGTTTTTACACAGGGATAATTAATTGGACCAAAAAGTACTAATAATGATGGTGGGTATGCCACTTACACATTAAATAGTATAATATCACGGCCGCCTTTAACTACAGACCGCGGCCTGGTAGAATTGGCAACGTCGCAAGTGGTGTTGTTCAGT